GTTCAATCCAATCCAAGACTAGTTTACGAATATTGGTTTAGATTTGGTTTGGGTTTCTTTTTCTAGTTTTCTATCCAATTTGGCCTAGTTCACTATATTCCAAATTGGTTTTCCTTTAATTTTAGTATGTTCATGAGTTTTCCTTATTGTTTCGGGTATGTTCAAAGGTTATTTAAGCTCTCCTAGCATGATAGACGAGTTGTATGATGGATTCTCGTATACACTGAAGGTGGCGGGAGAAATCGAACTCTATTGAGGTTGAACCCAAATTGATGTTAGTTAACCAAAGCATAAACTAGGTTAATTGTACCGGTAGAGGCACAAGCTAGTTGTCCCTCATCTTGGTTCCTAGTCATAAACTGGTTGGTCAGAGTTCTGATTTTCAAGACCACAAGTAGGTTGGTCGTATTTTGGGCCCGATCACAAGATGGTTGATCAGTGCTTGCAAGCCTAGACAGAGGCAACAAGCAAGTTGTCTCATTTTTTTTGACTACTTGATCAAGTGACCTAAACTAAGTACTAGCCTACCAATGATAGAGGTTATACACTATTACTATAGAAAGACTTGTACAAGAGACACCGTATGTGTAATGAATGAAGTAATCACTATAAATATATAACACGAATACCATCACACAAACGATTACGAGCAAGATTGAAATCGCATATCGTTAACAATCTCCCGACTTGAAACTAGTAAGAAACTGAATTAAAAGAACTAAAGTAAAAGCAAGAATCGACATCTTCCTCACGTTTAAAATTCAAAATGGCAAAAAGATCACAATGAAGAACACAAACACAATCACGATGAAAAGAACAACAATCAAATAACTCACTAGATAAGATTAAAAATGGATGACGAGATATTATTTTAACAATTAGTCAGAACAGCAAACCATTTTAAAAAATTCCTATAAATTGAAAATAGCATATTATCCATTAAAATTATTATTATTACTTTTTTAAACAATGACATAGGTGTGAAAATTATATACATTTATTTATGAAAGACATGAAATTATACCAAATAAACTATATTATATATTTTTCTCAATATTAGATTTGTCTCTTTGCTCTAATTAGCAAATATAATTATTATTTTCAATTTTTTTTTGTCTCATTCTCAAATTATCTTCTCTACTAATGTCGAACTAATCTTAATTAAAAAAAAAATTCAAATAAAAATTGCATAAATAATTAAAGTGAGAGAAAATGGTAAATTTGTTGACCTAATAGCTACAAGCACGTACTCTTATCTTAAATATAGACGTATTTAAATATCTGATCTCTTAGTTGATGATATTTGTTATAATTAATTGAGCTATGTTCATGTTACATAAAAATATTTTAAGGATATGTAATTAAACAATTTAGATATATATTTACGAGATAAATAAATAAAATATTTATATGGTCGATGTTTTGTTTTGCATTCTTTTTTGACCAAAGTAGTTAAAATGAAAGAATTCAAATTAAAAATGAACACTTCGTTCGATTATTTATTAAAAAGGGAAAATAAAAATAAATAAATAAAATATTATCGTGTTAAATTATGTCCAGGAAAAGTGGAGGGATGTTATTGGGTTTGGTGTATATAATTATCATTAGATTCCCCCACTCAAGTCGAATCGGTTCATGTTGTAAGATAATTCGATCAATTTAGACTGTTCAACTCAAAACATAAACGATTGGGTTAGGTTAGAATTTTATTTTTCGGTTTGAGTTTGATTGAATTTTTGTTAAAGAAAATTTGATTTGGTTCATGGGTTGACTTTTTTTTTTTGTCGGGTCAACTCGACGAAGTTGAAAAATAAGAATATTTTACATTTGACATACTCAAATGTTTGATGTTTGAATTTTACGAGACTTTCTTAGTTATTAATGTAACATGTACTAATTTTTTAAAATAATTAAAAAAAAATAACTCGACAACCAGTCTAACTCAACCGAAAATCAAGAATTTGATTTTAAACTCTATTCAAGTTGCTCGAGTTACCAACCAACCAACTCCGAATTTTAGATTGGTTTAAAAGATTTTTCCAACTCAACTCGTGTACACTGTTCGATTAAAAGCTTTAAGTTCAAATTATTTGCTCAATTGAATTGAAAAAAATGTCGAAACTCGAACCTACCGTACTAATAACTACTTGGACAATTAAAGCATAGGTAATTAGTTCTATTTTCTTGTGAGAATCAACAATAAACGAACGAATGGACTTAATTCCATTGTTTTTTTTCTTTTAATTTCATCCCGACATAAATTTAGCTTTTAAAAACAAGGTCTAAATTTTATGTCCGAACTTTTAAAAATATTTAATTAATCCTTAAATTTTTAATTTTATGTCTAATAAATTTAAATTTTAGTCCGTAAAATTCATAAATTTGGAGAAATTATTTGATATAAATTTTGAAAATTAAAATTGTAATTTATAATTAATATGAAATGCATAATTTTTGTAATGCTTTATATATAACTAAAACAAAGGCTCCATAATTGAGCTTTTATTGATAAGAACATCTACTTTTCTCTCAATAATTGAATCAACATGTTTTTAAAACACAGCTTTGAAAGCAAACAACCAATCAGCAATTTGAGCTCCCCATAAATGCCCCTATTGCAACGTTTTTAATATTCTAGCTCAACGTTTTAGACCTACGCTCCTAGAGTTGTTACCCGGTTGAATGATTCGAAATCCTAAAAGTATATCTTAAAATTAACGAAGATTCAACGACAATGAAAGTGACGTTCACAAATGAGAAAAGTCGTCAACACAATTGATCAGTGAGGTGAAGCCGAACATGAGGCTTGAGACACACCCACAAGTCAGAAGCCACTACGAACCTTGAGACAAAGTTGTTGACGTAATCGAGAACTTCGATGACACAATAAAAAACGAGACAGAAAATATTTTATATGCTTCGATGACAAAGTTTTAAATATTTGTATATATCTATTTATATTAAATGTATGATAAATAATCAACCTAAAAGTTGACACGTACAGTTTAATCTTTAATAACCTTTAAAACCAAAGTAAATTAAGGGCGAAAATTATTTTGGATAGCTGACTTTAAAATATCTAGTAGATCATACGGCCTAAGTTTTGTTTTGACTTTAGAACAATTAATAAGATGTGGATAATTCGGTAGAATTGACTTTGGTTTTGGCATGTTTGTTTTGACTTTTCTATATGTTTCCATGTCGGTCACCATAGCAGCCTTGAATTAACACCTTGAATTTTAACTAAGAGTAAAAGATTTAAATCTCGGACTTATATTAAAAAATTATATACTTTGATTAAATTATTATTTGATTTGGATCTGCAAGCAGTTCGATTTGAATCTTTGCCCTGATCTCTGCAAAAATAAATGAGCAATTTTGCACGGAGGAGATGGTGACGGGGAAGGTTTCCCCATCTCGGCCCCGTGTACATCTCTAAATACAACATTAGTACTATAGTTGATTAAATAAAAGTTAATGAATAAAAAAAATTATTAAATAAATAATTTTATATTACTGAAATTTGTAATTTGTAGTTGACCATAAGATATCTAATTAAATTTTGAAGCCTTCTACTAAATATAAAAAAGAAAAATATATTTAATTTAAAGTAATTAATATTTAATCAGATTTATAAAAACATATTTGATAAGAAGTCTACGGGTAAAAGTATATTATTATTATTATGTATGATGACACGTGCCAGATGATCACGCGTGTTATAATTAAGTTTACTTGATTCATTTAACCAATTTTTGAACTGAAATATAAATGAAATAAAGATTATAGAGAAACAAAATTATCAATTCTAGAAATTCCATCAATGACAAAAGTCGATAATACGATTTTCAACTCTATACTTGACAATGGAATCAAACCCGAGTCTATATCATGGCAAGGTACTATTCTACCACTAGACCATTGGTACTTTTGATTCAAAAGTCCAGAAAAATATTTTAGCATAACCGAAAATCGGACGAAGGTGATGAACTCAAATCATTGCTTAAAATGTAATTTGCAACAGCCGAGAATCAAACTCGAATCTATACTGTGGCAGGGTACTATTCTACCACTAGACCACTGGTACTTTTGATTTAAAAGTCGAGAAAAATATTTCAGCATAACCGAAAATCGGACGAATGTGATGAACCCAAATCATTGTTTAAAAAGTGATCTGCACCAGCCGGGAATCAAACCCGAGTCTGTACTATACTGGTGCTTTTGTTTCAAAAGTCCAGAAAAACATTTTGAGGATACTAAACTTCAACATCAAACTGCTCATTCCAGATAGCTCTTGTTCTAGTTCTGGTTGAAACTCCCTAACAAATAAATTACATTTTGTATGCATACGAGTAGCATTCTTTCTCACTTTCGTATGCGATTTCGTGTCAGGAGTGCCTTAATTATTCAAGCTTTTCTTCAGTAATTTCTAATTTTCTAAAAACAATCTTCGAAGAATAGAGCAATAAAAATCATAAATAATACTAGATGAGAAGATCATAGTAGAGACAAGGTCGTCTAAGGTTGATCGATACTGGTAACATTTATAAAAGAAAATCATTTGGTTGATGGTCCATGTTACCTATTTCTCGCTTCTTAAGAGTCGAGAGTATTCCCACATACCAACACGAGTCATTCCAACATACTTTATGGTCGAGAATTTTGGAGATGAAAGTTGTTTTTAAGAGAAAATATGGTAAAACCCAACTATACATACATGTGGTTCTTGCTTGCCTCGGGCTTTGTGCACCAGGAAGAGGGTGAGTAGCTCTAGGGCTTGACTATATATTGGGCTTGGGCTATATCGTGAAAGCCGAGTGTATTACCTTAAATTTTGACCACCGTTAGTTGTGAAATCTGCATACCATATTTTAAGGATGAGCAAAACATTGAAGAAAAGATTTAAAAATAAGATCGAGAAGTCGACGCTCCTCGAGTTCATTCTAAAAAACGACGATCTCAAGAAAAAGATGAACAAAATAGATCTAAAACGTTAGACGATCAAGCTGAAAGAGCAACTTCTAGTGCATTTGGATCAAATTCCAAAGTATAATAACTTCAAAGAAAAGGGAAAAATAAAAACAAATATTTTTATTCAGGCTATTTTTTCTCCCGCTCCAAACGACGTAACATCCGATTCATTCGTGAAGATCTTGCGAATTCAAAATTTGCTCTCTCTCTCTCTCTCTCTGTCTCCGGCGTCCGCTGGTTTGTCGTCTTTACATTTATCATCATCGTCATCTCTTATTTGCCATCATAACATTCGAGAAAATCTCCAATTTCTGGTAATCTCAGTTCCCGCATTTTGTTTTTGAGGTGTGATTCTGTTCGCAGTTAGGGTTTTATCTTCTGTATTTTCTGTCTCGGATTCTATTTTGACCATGGACAAGGACGTTTGCCGATGGATTATCGAGTTCATACTCCGGAGTTCAATGAACGATCACTTGCTGAAGAGAACTCTTGCGGTTATGCCCTTTCCGGACAACGATTTCCGCCTGAAGAAGACGGTTCTATTACGGGCTATTGAGAGCGAAAGATCAGAAGCTGTAGTAACAGAGAAAGTACTCGCGATTTTCGAGATGATTGAGCAGTTGGACAAGACTGAAGGCCTTGCAATGATGGATTCAATGAAATCTGCTTATTGTGCCGTGGCAGTGGAGTGCACGGTCAAGTACTTGGCGGTGGAAGGCATGAAGAACAATGGAAAGTATTTTGATACAGTGAGTAGGATTTGGAGAGGGAGAGTGATGGAATTGAAGAGGTCGGGAAGGAGTGAATTGGTTTCACGTGAATTTGAAGAATGGAAGGATGAAGTAGAAGCGGCACTCTGGGATAAGATTGTCTGGAAGAAACTGGTGAATATGAATACTAGATATGAAGCTTTGAAACTGATAGGAGATTATCTGGGTGAGGCTTGGGGTGTTCTTGGTCCCTCATTCCTAGAATTATCTGCTTCTTTGATGGATAACAGGACGAGGAATGAAATGCAGTCTGTTCAATTGGAGCAGGCAATAGACAAAACTGCTGTTGTGAGTGAAGATGTTGGTGGGAGTGGTGGGATTGAATTTCCCTCCCGAACTGAGAACCATGCGAGACCGGAGCATCAGGGGAGCGTGCCAGTCCTTACCCGAGCTGAAACAAAGAGAAATGATGTGCTAGATATGAATCAGGATTCGGGTGTCAACGACAATTCTAAACGATCGTCCACTGTTGAAATGAACACTGAGAGAGTTCAAGAGTTGCCTACAGAAACAACGGAAGGGCAAGAATCAATAGAGAAGGAAGTTACAGTTTTGCAAGATCGAAGTCCAAACTGCCGCAGTAATGATATGCATATCCACTCTGTTATAGTTTGATGATAAATGCTAGCTTATATCTTTATAACTCTATCATGTTTTTATTCAAATTAAGATTTTTGTTATCTTTAATTTTGAAATCTTAGGGTTAAGCATCTTCAATCTAGTTATTTGTTTTGTGTACTCAGAAAATTTGAAGACTTCTATCTTGCCAAGATGCAAATCCCTTGCATCCCATAAGCGTGTTAGAGGAGGGGCTAAAATTGATCATCTTGAGGGCTTGGAGAATGACAGTTCATCTGGAAAGTCTACTTGCCTACAAACTCCAGAATTTGATCGGGTACGAGAAGCGCTTAAAACCAGCTCTTTAGAGTTGCAAGCATTGGTGAAAGATCCACTTCCTGATGCATTACGCATTGCGGAATCTGTAGCTCAAGATCTTGCTAAAAAGAATAAAACTCCTGAGCATTCTTTGGAGGACCAAAACGATGCAGTTGCTGCGAATCCAGCCATTAACAAGGATAATATGCCTCTTCAATCCATGAATACAGCTTTCAACAATCCACGCCATGGACATCAGACAATTGTTCCACGACCTAGTATAATGGAACGCAACAGTTCGGCTTGTACATATGAGGTAATGTAAGGCATGTTTGATGCCATGCTAGCATGCCTTTTCTGCTTTCTGTTATAGTTGCACGAATTTACATTGCTTGTTAAAGGCTTTGTTCTCGATTGTGCGATGTCAAATATTTTATGTTTTCAAGATTATCATTGCTAGGAGGAACGTTGTTGAGTCTCAACAAAATGATGGAGCATCCTCTTTTGAGTTAATATTTGGTGTTGTCAACCATTTCCATTTTAATCAAGAATTTTATCATGGTTGCACCATTAATGCTATGTTATATTATGGTTTTATGCTTCATGACTACGTACCCTTGAAAATCCTTTGGTGGGGAATGAAATATTGATCTTCTTTACTGATGTTGCCTCCCTCATAACTGAGGGACTTATTCTATATGCGTAATTATTTTTATTTACTTTCAAGTTAAATTTTTACTATTGTAATTTTTTTTTCTTTTTGTTGCAGTGGAATGATTCAATAGATGGTTCTCCGGAAAGAAATCGCGCTAGCCGACTTCACCTACCTAGTCCCAAGAGAAAGGTCATTTCTCCCTTGAAGAAGTACGAAGAAAACAGACTGGTTTGGAGAAGGAAGTGTAAGAGGTGGAGCTTGCTTGAAGAAGATACCTTAAGAACTGCTGTGCAAAGGTATGTGGCTATGTGCCTTCAACTGTTACTATTTTCGTCTGTTTATATAGGGATAAATAAAAAGAGATTTGGGTGTTGCCCCCACTCGAACATACACACATCACTCGAGTCCGCATTATTTAGTTAAAAACTTGAAATTATATGATGGTTGATGTTTTGTTAGCTTATATTGTCTCCACTTAATTGTCTTGTTTGTGTTGGTAATATAGGTTTGGTAAAGGAAATTGGAAGCTCATCTTAAATAGCTATCGTGAAATATTTGATGATAGAACAGAGGTAACCAATTTCACAATGATCTGACATGTTGTCTTTTGAGTATCCATGCCGTTTTGTAAGACGTTTTTGGGGTGTTGTCTCAGGTTGATTTGAAGGATAAGTGGAGAAACATGACCCGATACTAATGTATTTGCGAGTCTCGATCCAAACTCGGTGTTGTAGAGATTGACCTCTAGAAGTTGAATTACATGCCCCCCCTTGTATTTTGATTGTAATATAGAAAAATCGAAAATGTCAACGGGAACGGAATTTTCGAAGTTGATCTACGTATTTGGTCGTTGTTTAAATGTTGCATCGTGCAGCCGAATCAGCAAGCTGATGTTTGTTCCAGTAGCAATGGTTGAACGAGCACCGTTTTAGCATGTAAGATTTCTGTACCACTTCCCACATGATCATCCCTGCTTCTGAACCCTATTTTGATTTGTGTTTCAACAGGTTTGCCACACTTCTGCTCAACAAATTTGGTGAAGGTAAACATATTTTCTCCTTTTTCATTTATGAACACTGCTGAAATTGTGCTCTGGTCCTGATTTCTATTCATTGCTGCATCTGTATTCATCTTCATTAGTAGTTGTCCACACATCTGAAAACGTTCATTAATACGTTGAACTTTTAATGCATACCTCGATGCATACCTACGACGAAGTTTTCGTTGAAGACTTAGGCTTAGATTAGAGAGTTTCTCAAAACAAATTTCAGACACTAGGATAGACTCAGTATGTCATTTAGCTCATTCAAGCCAGAAAAAAAAAAAAAAAAAAAAACATGGTTGCCCGACATGAACACAACATGTTTCATTCCAACAAAGGTTTCAGGCACCTCATGAACATAACAACAAGGCTTCATATGCCAAAACAAACATTTCAACGAAACCCATTTGAAGAATCCCCCTAAGAATGTAAAAGAAAAAAGTTGGTCCTTAAATACAAATCAAATGAATGCTATTGAAGTGGAGGAGAAACTTCTCTAAATAATCGGAGGTCGATCTATAAACAATAAACTAAATAGCATGAATCATCAACAAGTCAGTTGGGTCAAGCGTCAGGAGCCAGTTTTGCATCAAAAAGTTGTACTGCTCTCACTTGCAGAGATTGAGGAGACCTCAGATTTCACAAGTGACGATCCTTTACTACTGATGTCTAGACCCTGTAATCGGCTGAGAGGGTCGCTCTGCAGAACCTCCGAGAGAGAATGAGAATCTGATGGATGCATAGGGTGGCTAGACATGTTAGATGGGGAATGGCTATATGGTGGCATTTGCATACTCTGAGGACCTGCTGGTTGCTGTGAACGTTGAACGAAAGACGATGGGGCATATGCCATGTGATGCATTCCCAAGTTAAAAGACTCGGAAGGGCTCATCATTTCCCCGGTAGCGAATTTAAGCCTATCGACTTCCTTCTTTAATGCGTCGTTTAGAGCTGCATACAGTTCAGGACAATTTCAAACAAGACTGTGATAGTAACATATGTTCAAAACTAAGTACTGAAGTATGATCCTCACCATCACGCAATTGAGCTTGTTGCTCCATAGCCTGTAACCTAAGCTTAAGCTCTGTATTCTCGTTACTGAGACCCCTTGTATCTCGCTGTGATGACAAGTCTTAATTAGATCATAGTTCTAAGTCCATTGTCAGTTAACGTGAATATGATGAAGGGATAAAAATTGCGAAACGATAAGTTAGAAAATAGCAAAACTCTCCCCTCCAACAAAGAATATAAGGTTCAATCAGAGTGAAAAATTCTGGAAAAATGCGAGCTTAGCTCATGTTGAAAGACAAAAACCTGGAACAAAGTCAATTGGGCTGATAGAGTAGTTGCTTCTGTTTGAAGGGTCTGCACCTTGCGCTCCAACTCTTGTATATACCGTGCCTTCCTCTCTTTTGAGCGAGCAGCAGACTGTCGATTTGCTAATATCCTACACATATCAGCAAGAACATGAGAAAGAGGTTCCCAGGAAATCCAAAACCTTAATCTGAAACTGAAATCATTGTGCATATCGAGATGATGCCGATTACAGGACAGGACGATGAATTTGTCATCTTTCACCGTTAATATCTCTCCGAATAGTTCGAATGTTGATACCAAAAATTTGATTCTAAACTAATTTTATATATGAGCATCTGGATGTCCAAAATGGAGCTCTACTCAGATCACAGATTGATTCTAAACAAATGATGCAAGTAATTCTGGATCTGGCAATTTAAACCAAACATTCAAATGCAAGAAACGAAAAGTAGAATCAGATCACTAAAGATGAAAACTATGATTATGAAGTTGAATCAGTCTTGGATTATGAGTAGCAGAAGACTACGATTATTCGAATAAGAACACTACCAGAGAAATGATTGAAAATAAGAACTCAAAACCATTCCAAATGGCGATAATTCAGCAGGGGAAACTGATGCAGAGCAAGAATTGAACAAAAATGGATCCAAAGTAAAGCAATCACTCAGAAGTCACTGACTCCAAGCTCAGCCAGAAAGCATAATTAATAGAAATGGAATGAAGAAAAACCTCTTGGCGCGTTTGGGGTCACTGCTCCAAAGCTCAGCCAATTTATCAGGAGGCATAGCTTTCTTCGCTTCCATAACCTCCCCAAACATACTCGATGACGATGTCATTCCATCCACCGATAAGCTATGTCGATGCCTTGGCTTCGGAGTCTTCTCCCCCTCACTACCACCGGCGCCTTCACTTCCGCCATTGGCATTTTGATCCACGAAATTCCCTCCTCCATTACCTCCAAGCTTCTTCACATCAATGTAGGTCGAAAACAGATCATCCTCCGATCCGATCTCCTCCAGACTAGCCGTTGACAAACCGCCGTTGAACGGATCCGAGCCGGAGAGATCCATAATGTCCTCCGTCAATCGGAAGCTAACTTCCGAATGAGCCCTCCGATGATGTGAACCACCTCTAGGCACAAACGAGGCATTACCAGCATTCGCATTGGCAAACATGGATGAGGAAGCCGTCGCGTTCACCACCGGCGGCGGTTTATGAGTCTTCGGCGGCGGTGCAACATCGAAGGGAGGAATTTGATTGGAATTGGGAGTGTGGATAGGGTTTGAAGACGCTGGATCTTGCATTTCCTTTGGCCCCAAATTCTAGGGCTGTCTTTCTCTCTCCCTCTCTCTCTCAATTTCTCTCTAAGATCTCCTTGTCTGAGGCATGTGCTTGGGATTCATCTTCATGGGAGAATTAATTAAGACTTTATTTATTTATTTATTTTTTTAATTGTTCTCCGTTCATGTTTGAAACTGATAAAACCGGAAAAGCTTCCTCAAACCAACCGTCATGTTTTTTTATTTAAGTCTTCCTTCTATTATCTTCCCCATTTTCCCTCCGTTGCAGTCGTTTTCTAAAACTTTCTTCTTAAATCGAGACCAGAGTCTCGAGCATACTTTGCTTGGCCGTAGACGAGGTAAGAACGAATTGGATTAGCTCACTTGTTGTTGGAAGGTGAGTGCCGCACAATCGCAAGTCCACTGTCATCAAAAGTGTGATTGTGACAAGTGGAAGAAGTGGCAAAACAAGCCCAGTGGCAAGAGTCGTTGGCTGAATTCGACTTCAAATTTGAACACAAGACACGAAAGAGTAACCAAGCAGTCAACGCGCTGAGTTAGAAGGGTAAACATGCGGCTCTATGCATGTTAGCCCATATTCACTCAAGTAAGATCGATGGATCGATGCGTGACATCATCAAAGAACATTTACATAAAGACTCATCGGCCAAAGCCGTCGTTGAACTAGCCAAAACTTGGAAGACACGACAATTTTGGGTCGAGGGAGACCTTGTAATGATAAAGGGAAACAAATTATACGCTCCAAGAACAGGAGAGCTGAGGAAGAAGCTCATTCATGAATGCCATAATATTTTATGGGTCGGACACCCTGAGTGTCAACGAACTTATGCCTTAATAAAAAAGGGTGTATATATATACACCCTTTTTTATTAAGGCATAAGTTCCTCAAATCTGAATATGGGATAACGTAAAGCTCACACTGTTTTAGAAAGAAAAATACATGAGTAATATCGTGAGTGTATATGTCCGTGCAATATATAACTACAGAGGTAATCATGTTACACGAGTGTATGAATGTAAGGTAAGCCACTAGAGTGATATGGTGCACATAAACATTTGTCTACATTTCATGACTTTATCCTTTTATAAACATTTCTTGTTTATATTGTCGCACGTAGTACGTGCATATTCATATAAAGTCATGATTGATCATACATGAGGGCACGTGTATAATCATTCAATTCAATACCATGTAACGTTAATCCACTGGGTGCATGCCATTTATATACCAAACAACCTATCTAACCTAGTTCTTGGCATTCCAACCGTATGTACACTAACGTGGATAAGCTTAAGTTGACTATTTTTATACTTTCATAAACTAACAAAAGCTTAAGTCAATCCTACCGAAGTTTAATTTCACTTATGACATTTAAAGCTACAACCATCTAATTATCTTGAATCAGCCCTAATTAGCGAGAAACATTACTGAACCAGCTAAAACATGAGGTAAATTGGCTTGGATAACTTCAAAACGGGCTTAATTTGGTCTAAAATGCATTAAACTTACCCGAAGTAGCCAAAAATACCCTAAATCATTGGAACGTAATTGAAGTTGAATGAGATGATGAGCTGATGGAGCCACACATGCATTTCCGCTCAAGAGTGATGAACGATCATCGAATTTGCAAACAAAATTGAATGGAGATCGATGATTCTAACAATGTTTAGGAGTGTTTAAGCAACTTTGTGGATAAGGCAACCCTAATCCTAATCCCAACGATCCAAGCTTTTGTTAAAACAAGAACCCTACACCTCTTTGTACAGTATTCGGATCATCTAGGGATAAGACTAGAATTAGATTATCTCTTACGATCAAAGATCTAGAAGAAGCAAGATTTGGAAACTTTTTTCTAGATTGAGTCACTCACAATCGAACTTGATCAAGGCTTGATTGAATGACTCGGGTGCAATTTTACCACAAGAATTGGTTGAAGCTTAGAAATGACAAATATGATATTCGGATTTTTAAGGGAAATGTCTCAATTTGAAATCTGAATTCCGTTCATCCACGAATCTGAATTTTATATCGTAGGTATTTATAGTCTCCCGACAAAAGAATTGTGTAGTTGGGATTTACTTTAATCTCACAAAAGAAGTCAAATGGACCATTTGACCTTACATGAAATTAAAAATAATATTTTTGTGCTCGAGTGGTTAAGGCGACATGTTCGAAATCAATTGAGTTTTTTTTTTAAAGTCTTAATTTTGTTCTTCTATAAGCCCAATATCGGCCCATTACAGTTATTTATGGGCTTTCTCTCGAATATTCTTCTTAGCGAAGCATGATTGGAAACCCTA